CATCCTGCAGAGCCGCTACTACAGGTCAGTGCTGTCAGAGAGCCTGCACTCATGCACACACACACCTACGCACGCAAACACTTTCTGTGTGAGCCTCCAGGGTCTCATAGCTCATTAGGACAGCAGTGAAAGCTTATTAAGGAGAGTGAACTTTGACGAAAAGCAGGGGAGCACCGCTCCACTTTGCTGACTGTTGTGTAGCGAAGAGACCGTGTTCACTGAGGTCCAAAAAGCATTTGTACTGCTGTAACAAATTTGTGACCAAATGCAGTCAATATAACCACACTGATGAGAAAGGCTGGCTCAGTGATTGGCCCCCCGGACTCACTCGAGGTCATTTATAAAAAGTGAGCCTTTTGCAGAGGATGAGCTAATAAAGCTAAAGCTCCAGTAACGATCGACCGGCGTCAGTTAGGAAAAAAAATTCACCATCGTCTCAAAATAATGCAAAGGAAATAATAGAAATACTAAAACTGGAAATAGTTTTGAGAAGAGCATCCGGCATCTGGGGTGTGGTGAACAGTTTTGAGGCGATTACTATCTATCTGTCGTATTGTTTCCATAGTGACACTTAACAGAAGTATTCAGACAGGAAGTAAAAGACCCACTTATGTATTCTCTATACAATGGGCAATTTGACGTGAGTGCCCAGACATTATATATATATATATATATTTTAGTATGAGAGACGCACATGCTGCAATGCTTTTCCAACCGCAGATCAATCGGCCGTCACACGCTGTGAACGTCAGCTTGCACACGTGTGCAAGTCAAGCGCCTTCCCTCCGGTATCTGGTTAGGATTCACAAGAAATTAAACACATCATGTACGATCGCCGCGACGAGTTTTGTGCACCTTAATTATTTCTGCCGGAATCAAACTCGTCGTCTTCACACTCGGGTGACCGTTGAGGTGTCACATGCCCCGACGTGCAGACACCCTCATGCCTCTGACGGTGTGGATGTAGTGTGTAGTGCTAGACAGAGAGGGAGGATTAATCTGTCACTTCAGTGCATTCGCATTAGATGGACCCGCTCAGGCTTGTTAAGCTGTTGAAGGTGCGATATAATTATACATTCCACTATAATTTAAACTTGTTTATCAAATCAAACTTGAAGTTAAGAGGAGAAGAGAATCATAACTGGCAATAAATTCTATTATTTTCAGACAATTATTGCGTGCACACGTGGGTCGTTCATATACACGGATACAATCTACCGTATGATTGTTTCTGAAATCATTTCTTTTAGTTTCATGGAGAGCGTTGTCAGACCATCAAGCAAATCAGCAGGAGAACATTAAACCAGGACCAGTCAAGCAAGTTATAAAAAATGACACTATGTTATCAAGACAGATGTGTGTGTGTGTATATATAGACACATTTACACACACAATTCAGGGTTATGTCTATCTCTTTTTATCATTTCTGTATTGGATTTAATGAATGAACCTTTAGTTTAACATGTATTTCCTGATGGGGGTGTAGTCAGTTGTGTTGATTCTCGCTTTCATGTCTCAACGAGTTAATGGCCGATTCTTTAAGGAGATACTAATCAACCAATTCTCACCGCCTCGCTTATTATTCCTGTATATCTGCACATTGGAGTGTTATAATCACCCTGTCAGTACATCTGAACCCTCTAATATATCTCAGCTATACGTCAGTAGCAGTGGAAACAAATTCTGTTGGCTTTAATACTAATCCCTGTGCATTGCAAGTGGCCATTTTCAATTTAAGTCAGCCGGCTATCAAGCGCGAAACAACATAATATATGTGCATACATCTGTTTCTGTCCTTTTTCTCTCTTCTGCCTCACCACCTTCCTCCCACTCACCACACTGGTCACCGTGCACTTGTTTTGTACCTTCCTAATACTGCAGCTGGCATTTCCCTCTCCCCTCTCACACGTCCACCTACTCTGTGTCTCCCTCCCTCCCTGGCCTGCTAAGAGAGGAGAGGAGAGGGGAGGAGAGCAGCATGGCTCGGGGCCATTACCCATCACATCTCTATAAGCAGAGAACCACAGGCCTCACACACACACACACACACACACACACACACACACACACACACACACACACACACACACACACACACACACACACACACACACACACACACACACACACACACACACCATTAATTAAAAAACACGTCGCTTAAAATGCGTGCACACATGCTTGTTCACCAGCACACACACACACGTCGCATTTTGAGCCCTGGCCGTTTTCATTGACTCCCGCCCCGCCCACGCCGTGCACATTATGAAGGTCAGTGATGAATAACGGGTATTGTCTGCAGACACACGCGTGTTCATAGACACACAGATACATGAACAAAAAGCTACAAAGACACAGCAAACTAGGTGCACAGGCCTAATCTCCATCCCTACAGCAGCAGGGCACATCTGTCACCAGGGCAGAACATAACCCCCCCCCCCCCCCCGACCCCCAGCACCCGCATCCAATGAACAACCCACCTTTGGATTGGTTCCCACATATAGCCTGGCAGACATGCACGGACACACAACGAGACGACCGTGCTGTCAAATGAAAATCAACCTGCCAAAAAAGTGAACGCTGACTGCAGTCGGTGGATACAGATTTCTAGACACCAAATGGATTAAACGATTAGTTTACCATCTCAGCACAGGAGACGGTTGGCTGCTTTCATTATCCACCTTATCTTCCTCATCTCTCCTCACAGTAAACACACAGAAGAAATCCCGCCGTAACCCACCCTGTGTTCGCAATAACACCCGAGGGTGATTAGTGAGAGCGATACGTACTTTATTATTTTCATGTTTGGGGGTGCATCAGTGACGGTGTGTGTTTGTATGTGTGCACAGTACACACGTGATCAATTGCACACTGTTACCTCGGCCAGCACGATGCCTGATTTGCAGAAAACTTGGAAGGATGTTGGACGGGCCCCCTCGAGTTGCAATACAGTTTCTGCCAACCTTGTAAGAGAGTGATTTCTTAAGTCAAGTGTCATTGCAGAGAAGCTTAAGACAATCATCAGCCATAGTTGACTCACCTCTACCGGTCCAAAAGGTGCATTCCTTAGACACTGCTGTGAGAATTCGCTGCACAAACTCAGATTGCTAGATCATGCATGTGCTCACCTCTCTGCTCCGCTTGCTGGAATGAATTATATTCTGTGCACGCTTAACCGATCGCATTTATTGAACTCTAAAAGGATTAACTAGGTTCCCCTCTACATCATTTAACGCTCCTACAGGGCAATCGCATCCCAACTATCTACATTATCGTTCTGGTATTGGGGAAAAGAAAACACTATGGCGCTCGTTGTATCACTTTAAAACAATCACAATCGTCTAGGAGCGGCGCGATGCAGCGACAATACCGGAGCAAAACAGCAAAATAGAGGCCGTGTAGTGCACACACAGCCGGGGGTGAAGAATGCTGCTTGTTATGGGCCGGGTGGCCCGCTTGTGTTCACAGTCCATTTGCAGTGATTCAGACTAGTGCCGTGCTGAGATTGGCTGTCATGAGGTATCATTACGGTTAGATGTGAAAGCTGATTGCCGTGGATGGCGCTGTAGTCGCACAAACAACTCTTACGCACAGGTAGGATGCCCTCCGGTGGCCACAGTCAGAATGACAAGTCCCATGATGCCTTCATTCAATGTCACCTGTCAGTAAAACACTCCTGATGCATGATGTCAGGGCTCGGACGTACCGGAGGGAATGCATATCGATGTAGAGAGAGACAAAATACCAACTGTAGAAAAACTGTAAAATATATGACAGAGACAAGAAAGGAAACGACTTCCTGCAGGCACCTCCTGTTGAAGCAGCAGACGACCACACAGCGAGAATCGCCAAGTTGGAAGATACAACATTGCCGATGGTGATAAATGTGTATCTGTATTGTATGAAATTGCATTATACAAAAACCTTCACTCACTTTATGAAGAATCCAAAAATAAATAAAGACAACCAGCACCTCAACACTAGTAATTCAGTCAATACGTGCAGGACCACAACACACTTAACCGCTTCCCAGAACTGCTGCAAGAACCCTTTGAAGGGTAAAATAAAAAAAGGCTTATCCAAACATATGAAAGCATAGACACTGATAGGGACAAGTTGTGTTCCTGGTGCTTGTGACCCCGTCTCCCACGTTGAAACAATGAGCACGGTGAAAGGACCCGGGCCTGCCGGTGGTCCCAGCCTTTTCCTTCCTGCCCATGAGAATGAGAGCAGAATGCCTCGGAGTGTTTCCTCTCGTCTGCTATTAAATAAGGAGCGACTCCGACAATACACGGCACCCCGAGAAAGGTGCTCGGTTGAGGGGCCGCAGTGTTACAGCACACACAAAATCACACATCCATTGCCTTACTCTGCTTCTAAACACACACGCACACAAACGTAGTTGGCTAACGCGCCATCAGAGACGTTGCCAAAAGGCCAGATTGGTTAGAAGGGGGTCTTAGAGGGGGGGAAACGGTTCCCAGGCGTCGGAGAACAAAACTTTCTCTTTTTTTTCTCCAGCCGGGTGGATTTAAATGCTCGCTCACACAGCAGCAGTCCGGTCCACATGGAGACCGAAGCTGCGCCTCAGCGATTTCACTCCAAGTATGCTCCCGCTGCCTGGCGAGTAATACTGAAACACATGCATTGACTAAACACCGACCGATTAAGCTAATTAAAGAATATTAATACACGCAAATACTGCGAAGGGAGGGGAGTATTTTGGGTCAGCAACGCATCAGTGTAAAATAAATGTATGAGGAAAAGCAGCCAGATGAGATGATAACTTGGGAAAGTGGATCCTGCTCACTGCTAGAGAATATAGAGATGAATTAAATGCCTGCCAAACAAGAATGACAGAACAGCAGCGACTGAGCAAGTCAAGAAGAAATGAATCACAGGAAGTTTGTGAACAGATGGGTCGAATAAAGAAAATCATTTTCTTAATCTAGCATCACCCTCCGTGACCTTTCAGTGTAAAACCAAACAGTGAGTCTTACCGTAACAGCACAGCAGACACATCTTTGCGCTTTTACCTCTCCGCCTCCAAAACCAGTACTTGCGCCGTCGTTTCATTGTCAGTTCACAGTCTTTTATTTTGAAAAAGCAAGTAAAGGGTCCACTTCTAACATATATATATATATACACTCAACTGAAGACAGTGTTCATCCCCACTGCGTCGTCTGGCCTGTAATCATCACCTACCGGAGGCGAGGTATTTCAGACAGCACCTCCGGAATCCAGTGGCCAGGTATTCCATGCGGCGTCCGAGCCGGTGGCCTTTAGAGACCAAATCAGTGTGAGCAGGCGACGGGCCGAATGTAACGACGACTGCGCCTCAGGACAGGAGGCTGCTCTGAGACCTGCTACACTGCTGCTGCTGTAAGGGTGTAAAAAACAGCAGCGCAGAGGAAGGCACGTCACCCGACCACACTAACACCTCCGCGTCTTGTCCTTCCTCTCACGGATGGGAAGCCCGTCATTTCGCAAAGGTGAGACAGAAATGTTGGGTAACACATTGCCCCACGTCCTCCTCTCTGTGAAGATACTTCCCCAAAGTCCTTCTCGGTCCAATGGTCCATGACCAGATTTCTCCGCGCTCGTACTGAGCTTGAGAAGTACAGTAGCTCTCTGAGAAGAGCTTTATGGGCTAACAATGACAGTCAGGGAGGGGGGAAATGGGGGTGGGGGGGGGGGGGAGCAGTCAGAGACGTTGCACCGGCTGAAAACACAGCGGATATTTGGGCTTCTTTTGATTTACTGCATTGTGATAGAAGCCAGTAAACACTGACAGCGTTGACCGAGATTTTTAAACATTACGTATTAGTGGTTTCAAATGGAAGCATCGGTTTCATGGACAATCTGAAAATAAACTGATGGATATGTTTTCGTATTGATTTAGAGTTAAAAAACATCATGGCCGGTTCTTGTGTAAGTGGATGGTTGGTTTGTTGCAAAGGGGCACATGACTCTGCGTGGGACCCCAATCACACGGTGCGTTCAAAGGTCCCCTTGCGCAGTGGGGGAAACATGTGTGAGCCTGTACCTCCACCTACTGGAGCAAACGGAGCACACCCATCCATCCAGCCTCAGCCGTTGGTTCCAGAAACCGACTGGACTATTTTTGTTGTTGTTGGTTTTCCTCGAGTTTTCTGTAAGCAAGCGGCACATTTAATCATCATAATGTCCCACTGACAGAGCTGGCCAAACGTGTTCTGTATCTTTACTCTTGACCAAAGGGAAGTTTCACTTAAAAAACTTTGTAGTTGTACAGAACTAAACCGTTGAAAGCAGAACTTCACAATGTAATATTTATTGGTTGCAGCTGTTGGCCGGCAACTCCAACACATCGATAACCACTGCATCTTCTCACACAGGAGCACCTCTGTGTTCTATTAATATGGTAGTATAGGTTTATAGCTAACCAGCTAAAACACACCCCCAAAGACATTTTTCCAGGACTGCCGTTCCTTCTACAGTAAAGTCCGCCAAAGTTGCAAAGTCACACTCAATTTGAACTTGACCTTTTCATTTCTGCTGGCATGAAGTCGCTCTAATCCGGGCTGCGGCGGGTGGGTACGCGAAGCCGCACGCAGCAACGCGCGGCCATGTAATAACAAATCATCTTTGATGCGTCATGAACTGGGCTGCACAGGGGAGCCACTATTAACTCAAGTGAGTTAAAGCCATTAGAGGACAAGGAGAGCGTTGAGCCGGCTGATGAATGAGCACCAGTGCAGCAAAACAATACCAGAAGCGGTAAGCTGGGGGGGCACACAGCATCGGATTCATTCAGTCCCACTTGCCTTTTTGTTTTAGCCGACTGAAAAACAAACAGAGACATTGTTGGGACACAGCAGCTGTCCTCGCAATAACAGCTCAAAACTATTCGTGACCCCGAGCTATTTGCGCTACAAACACAAATTAAATACCACTACACACGAGAGTGATAATAGAATGGATTCGTTTAGTATTTCCCATTTGCTCCAGAAAAATAAACCAAGATGGATATAAATAATAACATTATTGTCAACACAAAAAGGAGGCCTGCGGACTTGCGTAATGTAATGCAGCTTGTTTACTGTAGCCATGATGGTGAAACATGCCGGATATGCGGCCAAGATGCCGGATCATTGAAGTTGTCTGCGAACCAAGTGAAATGTTGTACCAAGACACCTACGCTGCTGGCAAAACTGTGTGAGTCACGAGCAAACACAAGGCAAAGTTCACTTCACGCTGCCGGCATGGTGCGGTGTGTTCGCACAAGCAGTCCTCAGGAGTTGCAAGATAAGACGAAGCTCACCGTCATGCTCAAACAGCACGCGCGGCAGGAGCCCTGACTTTGTACTTGGATCACAGTTTTGGGAGTATTTTACACTGCGTACTTGGAATTAAAAGCCTGCGCAAACGTTGAGGCCTGCAGGGACACCCATGTTAAAATAAAACTGCACTGGGGGGGGGGGGGGGTCAGTTGCATCCTGAGAAGAAGAAGAAGAAGGAGGACTAGAGACAGGAGGGGCCCTCAGGGCGAGACAGGCTCGGGCTCGCCTTTCAGAGGTGGTATGTAAACAAGGGATATGCTGTAGGTGTGTGTGTGTCACAGTCTGGCCATTTTACGCTTTCCCAACGATTAAAAACAAAAAATCCAGAACCCTGAGTCACCAGCAGCCCAGTTAAAGACCCCACAATCCGTAGTAATCCTTTTAACTAATGCTCTTACTGCACAGGTGCGAGAACGGGGACATTCCCACAAGGGGTCACTTTGAAAATACAAGTACGTCATGTCAAAGCAGCGTGAAATAAATGGCGTTAATGGTATTAAGGCGCGTGGGGGGGGGTTGTAATAGTTTGTCAAGTCGCTTGCGTGGTGTCCCGCATTCCTCAGGTGAACTCACCTGCTTCCTGCGGCTCCGCGGCGTCCAGACTCTGTGTCTTCTTGCGAAAAGCGACCCTGTTGAAGCCGTCCATTCTGCCACGAGCCCTCGGGCCCCGCGAGGCATCGAGGTGCGCGAAAGGTGAAACGCCGCTCAAGAGGCCACCGGAACTAAGCGACCATCGAGGAAACGCGGCGGCCTCCTTGCTGCTTCGGGGGGCGAAAAAATCAGTTCACTCGCCCAGCCGCGCGCGCGCGCGCGGGCGCCCGCCCGCCCGTGTGCGCCTGCGCGGGTCAATGAGTAACCGCAAGTGAACAGCTGTACACATGTGTCGATTTGACTGCGAAGCTGCGGAAACTTCTCTCTGAGCAAAGTCACCTTGGTGGGCGGGGGATCTCCAAAAGACCCCCTCCGCGCGCACGCACACACACACACACACACGCACGCACGCACACACACACACACACACACACACACACACCTGTGCATACTGCGGTTTTTTGCATAATAGTTAGGAAATGTTGGGCATTCAAGAAACAGACCAGTGGAAGACATTTAATAAGACAAGAGCTAACATGAAGATGACTTGTTGAGTGTAAGATACACTCAACACACTGATGATCTTCTTACTATCAGATGTAATAAACTGATGTATCTTCTTACCTCATCCGTTTCCTGCAACATTTTGCTGCTTTTCTTTGTACTAATTATAATCACAAATAATACTGATTCATGTCTAACCTCTGCTGATTTTAAAAACAGCTCTGAACCTATGTTCGGTGTGAATGCATGGATACAGAGTTCATTTTTGTGTAGTTTAAAATACAAAACAAAAAGTCTCACACAAATCGAAGGACAGGTCTTTTATTTACTCGTGTAACCAATTTTAAATGGTCTTAAATGGAGGAGAAACTGTAGTACAGCTGTTGTTCTTTTTAAACCTTTTATTTCTTTCCCTGGATTAGTCTCTCCGTGTACTGCTCTATTGTGCAAACAAGAGGTCACCAATGGGCCGGCGTGCGTTCATAAGCTACTTCTGAACCAAACATATTTGCATCACTCCAGAGTTGCAAAGAGAACAAAACGAGCACTCATTCATTGTTGATCGAACAAAAAGGCTTTTATCTGTCATTCCAACACTATACTGACTATGTGGTTTCAGTTTATCCATTTTATATCCATCAGGTATTCAGTATTTAAGTATTCAGTGCAGTAAGGAGAATAACAACATCAAAGACATTTAAAAGAGTGTACAGAGACTGAGAAATGATACAATTATGCCACAAACTCACACATATTACATCCATCGGTGAGACTTTCTAAATCAGACCGTTTCGCGATGTTGTAGGGAACAGTGTTTCAAAAAGAAACAATCTCGATTGCGTCACTGCGACACTCTTGCTGCCGCGCGCTTCTTGTGAGCTTGCTGGTTAGTTCATGGTGGCAGAAATGGTTGAAAGATATAATATCAATCTACGACCGGAATTTACGTATTGCTATAATGCAAAGTGCATAATTGTGCTTGGACTGAACTGCATACTGTTTTGAAGGAATTATATGTGGGGGCAGCTGAGCAGGGAGGAGAAACGTGTAGCCTGGGATGTAGAAAATGTAAATCCTGCCACCTTCAATACGAGTCGATGGGGGTGATGATAAACGTTTTTTGGGAGTCGTAACCAATACAGTGAAAGAGTTAAAGCTTTATGGGGAGAATACAGTGTTGACATGACAGTGACAGTAACCGGTGAAGAGGTTCACCTTTGGGGAACCGTCGGCTCCTAATTAATGTTGAAAAGATTCAGGTCAGTTCACTTACTTAAACCTGTGCAATTCAAGAGGAAAAAACAAACAAAAACAACCCAGGCCCTGATCTCAAACACTCGGTTTCTCATCTACCTCCGTCTCTGAAGAGACCTGAGCTCCATGACGGACGCAACCACGTCGCTAGAGTCGGCTTTAAAGGTTAATACAAATAATAGGAGGTATAAAATAGTCTTTATTTGCACAAAAAAAGAGAATCTCAGTATAAAAAAAGCCCAACCAACCTATAGGAAAGACTAGTGCCGTAAGAAAGGTAGTTGAAATCCACCGATCATCACCACCACCACCACAAGAAACAATATTTATGTAATAAAATAACCTTCATTAGTCTGTTTGCAACATCAAACCCAACTCCTACTATATGTAAAAGTGGCGTACATATGTTTTGATAATTATACTGACTCTTTAAATGGCTAGACGAGTTTTAAACCGTTAACTACGGCAGAAATAACTTTTAGACTTCTAGTTGGGTGACTTTTGGTTTTCCTTTGTCCAGGAGTATCGTGGTGTTCAGTGGGGAAGGTGATCTGCGATCACAGACGTCCACCACAGCAGTAAAACACGTCACGGTTTCCATATTGAGGAAAAGAAAAAACATTCCAGTAATAAATACCTCAATTCAATTTGCAAATAAATAATCAATAGGGGTAATTAAATATGGAATATTAGGCCGGAGGGATAATTTTCCCGGGGTCGTTTTCTCTCTCCGAGAACATAAGAGGCTTCCTCTACATCCCCCTCTCTTTCCGCGACCGAGGAAACCAGGAGGCTCTTTTCTGAGGCCGGAACCTTCAGGTGCAGCCGTTCCCGGGTTGGGGAATATATGGTTTTTGGGTATCGGGGGGGGGGGGCACAGAGTCCAAGAAGCACCTTGTCTGACCCGCTAGTTTGAAGGACGTTTTATTCAGGGAACCCCCATCCAGAGCGTCTCCGTCTCTGCGTGACTCCTTCCGGACCGAGGCCAGAGTCTGGCCTGCAGCAGCGAGGTCAGGTGCCGGGGGGGCCGCGGTTGCCGGGCCGGACCGCTACGAGGGTCGCAGGGGGAGAGGAGACTACTGCTACCGGACAGGACTGTGCCGTGTCGCTGGAGTTCTGCCAACAATTTAGGACTGTAAGAACGCAGAGAGACAAGAGAGGAGGGGGAATGAGACACGGGAACAGTTGTTGGAAGAACGAGGTGGCAGCAAACCGAAATGCAGCATGTGTGATGAGGGCAAAACAGCTGGCGGCGGTTTTTATTAAAGGAAAAGTTCAACTTTTTTGGTGAAACGCTTTGTTGTTTTCTTTGCACCCCCCAACCCAAAATATTTCACCAAAAGGTGAAACTATTCCTTTAAAACCACAAGGAAACAAGGAACGAACAAAAGGTTGGCTGAGCAGCAACGCTAAAACCAAGAAATGGCCTCAGATCTTTAATAAAGTTTAATATCATGGTTGATTTTTGAAGTGAGAATTGTGACTAAATATATCCAGTTAAAGAATAGGTATAGAACCCTACCATGCAAAACTCCACATGCCCTCCGTCTGCCTATTCATAAGTAATTAACCGAGAGAGTTCGGGACCATCCATCGTCTAGATGTGCAACAGAAGACGTGCGCACTGAATAGAATGTGAACGCCGTGTTTGTGATGGCGTGTAGCGGGTGGACGGACACGTGGATGGATGTCGATGAGCCCACTTCTGGCAGGTTGTGCGGCTGGTTACCTGCGGGCTAGGGAGGCTCTCCCTCGCCTTAGTTGTGGGGAGAGTGACGGTACTGAGGCAGCAGGCTGCTGACAATCTACAAGAAACTGATAAATTAGACAAATGCACAGAGTGGGGACACTCCGGGTTAGACAACGGAAGACAACACAGGGGAAGGTCTTGTCGGGGGGGACGTTTACACATGATCATCCTCATTTGGTTTCTCTCATGCCGTGGAAATCAAGTGTTTCACGACGTCAACGAGAGAGCGCCTGACATTCACGGGACACGGCTGCATAGTTTGGAGGTCACTAAACTGGTCTCATTTGATGACGTTGACAGGACCAGCTTGCATGACACACAAATATGGACATATTTACACACACACACACACACACACACTCACGCACACTCGCACTTGAAAATCCAATATCATATTGATTAGTACAGAAAAAGGAGAGAACAAAAACAATCCAGTACAGCTGAACTCCACCAGTCATGTTTGTCTGTTGCACTTAAAAGTTGTTTATATGGCGTTGTGTTATCTTAAAATGTTGTAAGTTAACTATTCGTTTTTGCTATGCACTCTGTGATTATCTGAGGTAGGAAAAGGATTGATGGAGAGAGAGAGAGTTAAACAGCATTTGACAGCAAAGGATAGAAATATACTCAAACGCTGTCACATCAGGTGTATCGAGAAATAGTTTCTACACTTGTGCTCTTCATCTTGGATAGTATAAAATGGGCCAGGTGGGGCAGAAGGGGGGGGGGGGGGGGGGGGGGTGGACAAAGTGAAACGCGCGGGTTGAGACACAGAGAGGAGGTCTGACTTGTTTCCACATCACTCAGGACATCAAGTAGCACACTTCAACCTTCTCTGATGCTTTTTGACAAGACGTTAGGTGTGACAAATAGACATGCAATAAAACTGTAGAGAAAATGTAATTTACAACACACAGGAGTTTAGGGAATAGAGCAGTTAAATGACATTTAAATAAATGTGTAAAATATAAAATATTATAACACATTATTAATAGAGTCTGCCACAGGGGGGCGCTGCGAGTCACGCTGCACTGAAGCGAGGGGCTGCAGCCGTTTGGTGATTGTTGGTTTAAACTAGCCGCTATTCAGACGCCGAGACGGACGCCTGTCACATTCGTAAAGTTCATTAGAAAAAAGCATCCGCGGTCCGACCTTAAGGATACGAAAAGGGCTGAGTGGTGATTTGCCGAGTGTCGCCGCATATTCAAACCACGGACACGTGAAAACCAGGGACCCCCCTCCCCTCTGTGTCCCATACAATCCAGGGTCTTCTGCGAGCTGCGTGCATGGTGGACTTCGCCGCTGCGTGTGGGGGGACGTTGCCGCGGTCACCGCCTCCGTCGAACGTGAGGAGACACTGACCCGGGGCTACCGACGCTGTGGGACGGGGACGGTCGCCCTATGTCTCGTCTCGAATAAATGAGCCGTCTGAACTCTAAGGTCAACCGCTCGGGGTCGGCCATGTCGGGCTTGGGGTCCGAAGTCCACGCGGACATGGGCGGACAGGCAGTTAGTTCTACAGAGGGAGGACTACTCGGGGTCTGGGAGGGGTGGGGGGTGATGATGGAGGGGCTGTGGACCCTGGTGGGACTGGAGGGAGCCGTGAAGGCGCCTCTGCCACTTACTTTGGGCGGGCTGCTCTTAATCTTGGGCACTTTGGCGCCGCGGCCGCGGTGGATCTGCTCGTGGTCAAACTCCAGGTCCTCCAGCCGTTGGGTCAGCGCCAGCTTCTGCTGGATGGCCATGCGCAGGAGGGAGTTCAACGTCTTCTTCTCGTCCTCTGCTGCCGCCAGCTGCCTCTGCATCTCGTCCAGCTGTGTGACGTACTCGTCACATCTACACGGAGAGAGAGACACACATAGGGAGGAAACACGGATTCAGTCTGCGTGTCAAATTCCCCCTTTAGCAGCCGGGAGGCGTTAATACTTCCCCTCTCACCTGGGGGCGAACATGGCCCTGAGAGACGAGAAGGTGGCGGCATCTCCTTTCAGAGCCTCAGCTCGTTCCTCAGCTTCATCATGGTCTCCGTCACCATCGTCTTTTCATTCTCGTACTTGCTCCTCAAATTAGCCAGTGCCCCCTCTGCTGTCTGCAGGATGCCAGGGTAACATTTAAGTTAGAGAAAGTTCTACTCGACACCGGTGTGAAATATTAATCAGGACATTCATTCCTAAAAGAAGAACGGAGTTGAAAGTGCGCTCTGCCTCTCAGTCTCTGGTTTTTAGATTCATACCGCATGGATGATTTAGGGCACAACACATTTACTACCTCCCTTACGATGAGTCGCTAGAACACTGCTGGAGAAAAACAGTGGAGAGATTCTGAAAAACACAACGTCAAAGTAGAAAGTAAAATTCTCTTTTCCTCACCTGTTTGTTGGCCTTCAGCACCAGCCTGAGCGTGGCTATCTGCTCTCTCTTGGTGCTGAGCAAGGACTTCAGTTTGAGGATCTCCTCCAAGCACATCTCCTTGTCCTTGTCCAGCATGGGCGCCAGCTCCCTGGCCGCCGCCCTCTGCCTGGACAACTGCAGCGCGCGGTCCACAGCCCTCTGCAGGTGCTTGATCTGGTCCCTGATGATGGCGTTCAGGTTGTAGATGTTCATGGGCTCCTTCCGCAGGTCCCCTCCAGCCTCGGAGGGCACCGGAGACGGGCAAGGAGAGGCGGCGATGGCCAGGGAGCCCGCCGGGTTGCGGGCGGGGCTGCCGTGACAGGAGTCCACCGCGTGGGCCGTCGTCTCGTTGTGACGGACGTCCCGGGACGGGGAGTCCACGGGACTGCGCGGGGGCTCGGAGGAGCACGCCGCCGACGCTGCGGCCAGGCGGCGGGCCAGGCGAGGCGTGAGCAGCGCCCGGTGGTCCTCGGGGCCCTTCGGGCTGCCGCCGCGCGTCACCCGGCTCTGGCGGTAGTAGTCCAGCATGACGCGGTTGGGGGTCTCGTTGTTGCACAGACACACGTGGTGGTAGAGCTGCGCCAGTTCCTCGCTGAAGGTCACCAGCTCGTCCTGTGCGGCGTTCAGCAGGCCCTGGCCCTCCGCGGCCGCGCTGGCGGCCGCTTGCAGCTCGGCCTCCAGGTTGGTGACCCTGTCCCTGCTCTCGCGGTAGCAATGCTCCAGATGCGTCACCTGCTTGGGAGAAATGCGTTGGATCTCAGTATCGTAAGGTTGACGTTGCTATTCATGGAGTGATAAAAACCCTTAAAAAACCCGTGCTCAATAATGACAAACCTGTTCACTCAATGCCGGGACCCTGTCGTCACCGTGGCTGTCCCCCTGCCCCTCCACAGCCGTGTTGTACTTCTCCTTTAGGGCCTTGAGCTCGGCTTTCAGGTCGATCACCTCCGTCACGGCCACCTTGTACTTGCACTCCAGGATCTCGAGGCCGTGGATGTCGGGATCGTGGTGGCCGTTGGCCGGTGGCGAGAAGGACCCGCCGTCAAGCTTCTCGCTGTCCCGCGGGTCGGCGAGCTCTTTGTCCCCGTTGAGGCATTTCATGCCGTTGACGTGCTCCATGAGGCGATGGACCCGCTCGTTCTGCTCGGTCAGGGCGCCCTGCGTGTGCTGCAGTTGGGTTTGCGACTCCTGCAGGTTCATGAGCAGCGCCGACTTCTCGCGCTCCACCTGCGGGGCCGCAGGCACACGAGAGGGAAGAATGTACAGCCGGGTGTCTGATACAAGTTCATAAAACCAACGTCCAAGACTTTAGTATCAAATATATTTAATCTTCAGCATTTCCACCAAAAATAAGAAAAATGGCAACCGCTCAAAAGTAGCTGGCGTAGCTCGCTTGTCTCAAAGACATTGGGAACTAAAATGACTTGCTGTTCTGATGCTTCTTGTGTTCTTTGCTCCCCCAGAGCTAAAAAGATTCACCTTTTATTGATCCAATCTTTGATCGCAGAGGGAAGCTAAGCAAATACTTGCTCAGCCTGTTAAAATGATTCCAGCGAAGACCCGAATTTTAGGATTGTGTGCAATTGTATGTTCTTTATATATTGAGAAAGAAGACAAATTAACGGGCAAATTAGAAGCCTGCAGCTGCTGGCGTTGACATCTTTACCAGAATAATATACCCGAAAGAGAAAATTGATTAGTGGGTAATTGTGTTTACAGTGAAAGCCACACTGCTAATATAGCAGCCATTAATGTAATTATGTTTGGTCCCTGAGGAGCTCACGGGCAAAAATGAACAGCAATGCCGTAATTAGATTATTAGCATGGATCTAATCCATCATTGATTTTTTATGTATTCTAACACACCGTGTGCGTACTGATGGGCCTGTCATGAGTGTGTGTTGCACTCAGGTGAAATTATATACATAAATTATATTATGGGCGGCACGGTGGCGTGGTGGTTAGCACTGTTGCCTCACAGCAAGAAGGTCCTGGGTTCGATTCCGCGCACTGGCCTTTCTGTGCGGAGTCTGCATGTTCTCCCCGTGTCTGCGTGGGTTCTCTCCGGGTTCTCCGGCTTCCTCCCACAGTCCAAAGACATGCTCTGGGGATCAGGTTAATTGGGGACTTTAAATTGCCCGTAGATGTGTGAATGGTTGTGTGTCTCTGTGTAGCCCTGCGATTGGCTGGCGACCAGTCCAGGATGTACCCTGTCTATCGCCCGAAGTTGGCTGGGATGGACTCCAGCCCCCCCGCGACCCTGTGTGCAGGATAAGCGGTTTGACGATGGATGGATGGATTAAGTTTTGGGGTTAACGTCGGGAGCAGCTTTAAAGACCCTGAAATCGTCCAGACAGTAACTCGACACTGACGACGCTGATCATGAAATGAATATTCAGTGACACGGAAGAACAAAGCCAACACGGCTGGTTTTACTGAGGTTAGTTAGTTAGTTACCTGCAGCAGCTGCTGTTTGAGTTTCTGCATCTCGGACAGGTTGAGCTCACTGAACAGGTCCGGCACGGGGTGCAGGCCTTCTCCTTTCCGATTGCCCGGTCGGTAGTCCCCGTTCATCTTACCCGATCCGGTGCCCGTGTGAACGTGGTCATTTCGCCGGTTGCTGTCCTCATTGTTGCCGTTGGCGGTGGGGACGGCGCTGCCGTTGGTCCCGTTGGTCTCCTCTGGGAACTTGAGGCCCTCAACGCCGGTGACGGTGAGCGCCAGATGGGCGCCCGCTCCGTAGACGCTGTCGCTCAGGCTGAGGTGGTGGGCCAGTTCCTTTCTCAGATTGTTCTTCTGCTCACGCTCACTCTTCAGGGCGTCTAAGGCCTCCTCCAACTGACCCTCAGAGATGTCCTTCAGACGCAATGCGTCTTCCAGCTGACTGTTGAGCAGAACAGTCTCCTCCTCCAGCACCTTGATTTCGTGTTTTAGTCCCTCATACTCCACCTGAGGAGCAGCAGGAACAGGAGAGAAACGGTAGGATGCATTTCATTGAAATACTTGATTGCCGTATACGTTCTAAAGCATCATGAGGACGCTTTCACAGGACAGACGCAACGGGACGCAAGGAAGATGTGAGTGCACACAAATAGCGGCAAAGGACATTAAACATATTTAAAGGGAAAAACACTTAATTAAAGTCAGACAACTTAAACCAAACATGTAACGTCTTTTGACTCAGTACTCTGTGACAACGTGGTATTTTGATTTTATCGTGGTTTTGCTCAATATTCAATCTAAACACAAGCCAGATGATGTGGTAAAAAATACTTGTTATTATTCATTTTTATTTGGTTACAAAGCAGTTAAACACTTTCGCTTTCATTTCATTTGGACGTCATCTTTCCTGTAAAATCAGCACACACACACACACACACACACACACACACACACACACACACACACACACACACACACACACACACACACACACACACACATCATACAACCCACAGACACTGTGTGACTGTGTGTAACTGGACAGAGGATACTGGCGCACCTCGAGGTGAATAAAGGATGAGCCACGAGATGAGAGCCCTGTTTGACTCAGTGCCTCCTGGGAATAAAAAAACGCAGAGGGGACCACGTTCGAAGGTGGTTTTGGAAACTGAGCGCGAGTCCTCCACCCCTCCACCGAGAAGGGGCTTGGTGTCCCGTCGCTGAAGGCGATGACACACCTGCCTGAGGCGGATATGCTGATGGGTGGTGTAATTGAGAAGTTGCTCGGGTCAGTTGACACTGACCTGGCTCTGCTTGAGCGTAGACACCAGTTTCTGCAGCGTGATGTTCTCCTCCTCCAGCTCGGTGTAATCCTGAAGCAGTCTGGTCTCTCTGAACTTGTACTCCTTAACCTCCTCCCTCATTCGGCTCCTCTGTAGCTCCAGCATCTCGTTACTCTGGAGCAAAGACAATTGGATTAAATAGTAAGAAAAGCGAAAGATGGGTTCAATGGAGGGGGGGGGACACATTGTTCATTCAAAGTCAATCTCGGAACCAGGCTGTAAATACTCCTCCTATCTGATAGCATGAGGCATTAGCCTCTCTTAGCTTATCAAACCATTGCATGATCTTAAATGCAATGAGTCAGCATGTTCAGACTCCATATCCTTATCCTGCGTTGCCTGCTGAGCACAGATAGAAATATAAGAATTTGCTGGGCCCGATAAAGTGCCGGCGAGAGGAATGCGCCGGCATCAGAAGTCATAAATCTAAGTAGTAGGACTGGGAATGTATATTGAGACCTCAGCACAGCCATCTGTCAGTTTTAGACCACGGAATAAAATCCACTAGCTTCGAAAGAACAGACCATGTGAAGTTACTAAGTCAATTGTTTGACCGTGGTGATGTAAGAGGATTGCAGCACATTGCGAGAAACAGATTAGAGAGTGTTAAAAGACTTATGGCTAAATGCGTACAACACAATGCAACTATACAGGTTTGAAGCGTTGTATTAAGTATGGAACAATAAACAGCGAATGTGTCTCACTGCAGCGCTGCCCTGCAGATCTCAGCACATATGGCAGAGGTGCTGATCCACAGTGTCGGTGGGGGGGTTAAACTCACAGGCTCACCTGAGACACAAGGCCTCTTCTGTGCTCTTAGCCTCCAGTTTCAGCCTCCTCAAGTTTGTGCGCTTTTAGAGCTGGCAACTGGAGTGAAACTAAAGACCATTATGATACACTGAATCTTTTGATTTGCACAGTAGCTGACAGCATCTCCTATACTTTTAGAGCTAATGGAGCGCATCGAAGTACAGTGAGACTGTACAGAGAACGCTATTAGAAGAACCCTGAGGAATATAAAAGAAGCCAAGCGACATTTTAGGAACAACCATTATTAGCGTGAATAACTAATCATACAATTATAATTGATTAGAATAACGTTTTCTCCCGACATCTTGAGTTACAAATTCAGGCGGGGAATTACTTTGAGCTGCGTTTGAAGTGAGCCGGATTAGAGGCCCAAAATCCATCGTTGAGGCTCTGCAGAAGCGTAGCTGATCAGCACGATACATACTGGCAATGAGCAATGAGCATTGAGCCCGCCGCGGCGCAAAGCGGGACATAGTTACAGCTTTATTGGATTCATGGTTACACAGGACGGAGAGTAATTATTCGCTAATGAGACTAATTGGAAGTTTAGATTTTTTCTTTACCAGAATAAGCAATAGTCAAAATAAGCTTTAGTATTAGTGTCTCTCATTAGACCCTAAAAACATTCTTTTTACTTAATGCTTTCATGTTCTGACTTCAAACCGCCTAAACACAGCAAATGAAAAACCTTTTCTGGCAGTAAGTCAAACTTTTTTACGTAAGTTCTTCCCTGGGAAATCTGCTGATGTTGAAAGTATTTGTGAGGATTGCTGGGAACCGTTTGATTGGTCCCCCGGTCCAGCGGAAAAACCTGCTCCTCAAGATGAAAAGACAACCCCCTCCTCATTAGGGCACGGCGCGCACTAATGATGATTTCAAAGAGAGGCATCGTCATCAAAGAGCCACAATCATGATGCAAACAGTTGACGGGTGTGAGTGTGTGTTTCTGTGTGAGTGTGTGATGAACTCATTGGAAATATATTGCCAGTGCTCATCAGTTCACAGGTGCCCCCCATTTTCAAAATATTATGCTACATAATGTGGAATATTCTAATGAATCCATCTGTCGTGTACGTCATTGCTCTGCTTACGTTGACGCGTGTCAACATGTGTCATGACGTGCAGAGAGGAAGAACTCAACCTCACGTGACTTCCCGACAAAAAGAGTGAAAGAAAGTGTGTCCTGTGGTTGTTTGCGGGACGAGCGCAGCCCGGCTCACTCTGGCCGGACACATGTGCCGAGCTCAGGGCATTTCACTTATTCCCCAGCTTAGCACCGGATTTGCCCCCCAACAATGGTGCCGTGGCCGGGGGCAGTCTGACCCCTGATCGAACCCCCCACAGTGGCTGCAGACGTGCATGAATGCATGAGCATACGCCTCGGGTGCACGTACGCACGTGCGTATTTGTTTCTGTCACGTTCGATGCCCTTTCTGCCACTGTGGCCGTTTGGTCCCATGAAAGTTAATGCGCAGTCATAACCCCTAACCCCTAACCCCTGACCCACGAGACTGTGGAAAATGGCCTCAAATAGGAATAACGTAAAAATAGGAGACGGTTTGTTGTAATTTTTCGGACAATCCCGATTTCCCTTTTTTGTCTCCGACCTTCTTTGAACCGACAAACCATCTGCAGAAGGTGCAGCGTGGAACTGTTGACAAGCTCACCTCCCGTAGCTCCTGTGAGAGTGCGTTGAGCCTCTCGTTCTCGGCCTGCGCGTTGGACGCCACGGTGCGGCTCAATGTCCCCTCCGTCTGCAGCACCAGAATACGTCCCATGTAGTAGGCCTCCTTGGAGGCCGACTCCTTTAATAACGTCTCCTCATTGCTCTCCCCGTCCTCCGCCACCTTACGCTGGTTGCTGTAAGCCTGGCCGAATGCCTGAAGACAAAGAAAAGAAGGGTTATATATTTATATATATATAGTTGATGACCAACAAATATCTTTTAGGCAAGTAAAATTCAAAGTGACAGTGATCCAAATCCTGTCATACAACACAAACACTCTGATGCATGTGAGGGATTTGCACCCACTGGCATGTTAGAGTAACGCCAGCCCATCTCTCACACCAAGGGCCACCAGGCTGACAGCAGAGGCCGGCCCCCAAGAATACCTGCTCGCCGTCCATGGGAGATGATGTTTCACTGATCAATAGACACACTGTTCCCATTTTCCTGACACGGGTTTTCACGGCACCGAGCGCTGACTTGTCGTGACGAAGGAGCCAAGGCTTGATTGAGAAGATCAAAGCACGCGGCAACAGCAGAACGAGCCTCCGATAATCAAAGGCGACCGTACAAGAATAGTGGTGGAGCGACACGCCAAAGCTCATCTGCACGGACTAACGACAAAGTGACATTTGGGGATATTCAGTTACATCACGCAAGGTTAAAGGACTAACGTATCATATCACACGAAGGTGTACCCTTGACAAGGTTAGCTTAATATAGACACAATTTCAGGATTTGTAACGCACTCCTCAACACCGATGCAGCAGCTGTCTTGGTGGTTCAATAAATACTATGAGCCATTCTTCAGTTTCTCGGCAAATCAGCTCGAAATAAAATGTTGCACACAGCGGCCCCTCAGAGACGCGGCTGATCAATAATGCTGTCTCAGAAAACTCTCTATGTCTACGATTGCCACATGAAACTTTAAACAATTCAGCAAGGGTAGTTATCATAGGACGCAGTTTATACCCGCCCAAATTTTCAAAGCAGCCTAAATCCTCAGGGAGCCTTATATTTCGGACTGGAGGATTATTAATTCACAAAGAATCCTCCCAACCTCGCCGCTAACTTAAAAAAAACATTTTCTCTGTTTTCTCCCCCGGATTAATCATTTAGAAGGTACAAGCATCCATTATTTGGAGAAGACCTGAGCTCCGATGTGCAGCGTTTTTTCTTCCCGTTGGCCCATTTAAAAATCTTCCGACTAACTTTCAAAATTCATGAGTGAACTTGCCTGCTTATGTAAGCAGAGTGGAGTTGCTGAGGTCCTGTTGTTGGATAGGGGCAATTCATTACAGTCAGAAATCTACTAAGTAAATAGAGCTCAGGCTTAGAGAGAAGGTGAGTGTTCAGCCATTATGAAACGATGTACGCCCAAACCCAAAGTCTGTGTGAATGAATGAGATAAGCTGATTTCACATAGCTTAATTGGCCACCTGCCCCTGTCACATCTGGCCTGCTTTTTTGAATACTTCTCACGTACAGAGACACTAGATGCTGGTTACACTCCATCAAGCAGACATAAAGGAAAGTAAAGGAAAAGGACACACACACTTTTTATATACTTTTATCCTTGCATTTTATTTCCCCTCTGAAATACAGATGGGGCAGTTTGCATATGAAAGAGAGCCAGTAATACTTCACAGTCCACTAATGGCTGTGAATACAGACTATTTTTCCCTCAAACACAAAAAGCTGTCCTCAAGGACTTGCTTTATAATGAGTATAAAGCACTCATGCAAAATGCTGTATTTGAATCGTTTCTTAACTTTCCCTCCCTCACTGCATCTCTTTTATTCCCCGCTCTCTTTCACCCCCCCCCCCCCCCGCTCCCCTGCCCCCCGGTGCCCTCTTTGGCTCTCCGGGGGAGGCACAGTGTGATTGTGGTGGACGATTAAGAGGGAGGGCCTCAAGAACAAAAAAGCTGATTAATTCTGAGCACAGTGTGACTGAATGAGCTCAGGGCCTGGTGTCAGTCAGCGTCCGAGCTGGCCTCTCAGCAACAGCTGAGCCCTGCAGGTGGACGAGCAACAAATCTGGACCCACAGCGTGCAGCTGTTGGATTTCTAGTACTGTGGAGTGGGCGCATACAAACACTTGGGGAAACTATATATTTGGCTCAGGAAATTTAATTCAGTATTGAGGCTTGATAAACATGGCGTTTGACTTAAAGGCCGACCAACAGACGGACGGACAGAAGAACCGTCACATATGCAGGCGTTTGAGAAGCAACTCGTCGGGGGTCTTGGATGCATGAGCGAAGCAGATAGTTTCATTGCAACCGGGCCTCCGCGAGCCGAGCCGTGCCGCTCGCATCCGTCTGCCCGACACTCCTCCTGCAGGAAGTCCCAGTGAGCCACTGTGATGACGGAGGCTCAGCTTTCACACAGAAACAAGCAGGCGGAGAGCTCTGGCCCTCTCTGTGCCACGGTTTCAGGGTGGGCTAAAAATAACACTGTGCCAGCGCTGCATTTTTCAGGCTATTCACATGAACGTCACTAACAATACTGCATGCCTTATCATTATAATGATTTTTAGCAGACCTGCATCTGTGACCTAATTGACAAGCGTAGCACAGTTACAGAAGCCAGATAACATGTGTTTTTAATAAAAACGTAATTCCATTTCCTCGGGTTGATTTTAAGATCGAGTCGCTGATTGGCAGCCTGCTCGTTTGTGTATTAGCGAAAACCCTGTAATGCATTCAACCTCGAGGCTCCTCGGCCTCCTGTAACTCAGCAGATGAAGTCCGAACAAAAGGCTCTATAGATATTCATCCCTGGGGCCAGGGAGAGAGGAGTATACAGAGGGAACAAACCAACCGCTGCTCTAGTGTGAAAGGAGGAGCGCGTGCAACCCTGAAATCCTTCCCTGCATCCTGCAGCTCCTAATTAGGAGTCAGGGGAGATCCTGTCAGTTAGTGTACTGTACATACAGCAGAAATCTATTTTTATCCCGAAAGGGAGGGGAAGAGTGAACTATTTTTACATTAGCAAGGAATCTGTGAACTTTCGGGATTTCACTGGTTGGAAATTACTGTTAAAACAAGTTTATTTATACCACTGTTAACCACAGCAAGAGTCTAGACTCGATTACATTTTCAAGAGAGCAAATATGAATACAATTGATTGACTTAACTCATGTTCCATTGTGCATTTAAGTTTGAATTAATGTGGACTTTAATTAGGTGATTGCCTAATAAAAATAATGACTGACACATTTATCTTTAATTTATTTTTTATCACTGTACTGTCAGAAATTAAGTAAACTTTAGGATTGTAATCTTTAATCTATAAAATATTATTTCATGAAAGTACAAGATGAGAAATGTTATTCATCATTTGGAGACATAACAGCCTTAAATCTGGATCACAGGCTCGATTCAAATATCAACCAAAAGCCGCCTCGTGGAGCTCTAATCTCTGTCTGCGGCAACATCATTTTGATAAGTTATGGGGAAGCGGAAATCAGGGTATTACTCGGGGAAAAATCTAATGAAAAACTCAGACATGCACTTAGACATATACACAAAAAGAGACAGACGTGCACACACACACACACACACACACACACACACACACACACACTCTGTTGCTTCCCGTCCAGATGGCCGGCCCAGCCAACCACGTCAGGGATTTCAGCACCACGGAGAGAGACGTGCAGTGTCACTGTGTGTGCAGGGCAGGGTGAGAGCAGACACATTCTTGCTGTCATTCACTTCCTTGGTGATCATTTGTAAAAAAAAAAAATGTAACGCCGTCATCGCAATTGTTGGAGACCGAGTCAAATTATTTATAAAAAAAAAAAGTAGACTACCCATCAGAATAATTCCAATAAATAATCACATAAGAACAGCATCAAGAGCACAACAAATGGATGAGGAAGTAAAGTAGTAAAAAGCAGCATTTGATCGATCATTGATAACATTGATAACAAGACAACACATGCAAACACACATAAGCCTGATGAGACTGGAGAAAACACAAGCACACAGTATTATGTTTGACTGCAGTGCAATATGAAATGACAGAACTGTAGGAAAAAACTTTCCACTGCAAAAATTCTGCTATGTGGCTTGTCAGTTCTGTCTTTTACAAATAAAAAGATTAGTATTATTTTTTTTAAACTAATTATGTCGATGTCTGTAAACAATACGCTTTTCTAGATTACGTTTCACACACTACACACTACATTTCCCACAGTGTATCCCATTAGTGTCTCTCATTAGACCATCCACACCTCCTGAAAGTCAAGCAGGCATTAAATTAAAGTGACTCTAGTCCGAGCGGATATAATCCTAAAACCACAATGACATCACAATGACATCACCTGACGAGCTCCCTCCACGTCCAGAGAAAATATCATGAAAGGACTTTTTCTACATGCCGTTACATGTTACATATGCTACAGAAATGTGAAATGCTCATGTGATGTATTTAAAACCCGCATCCATGACGAGCCGAGCTGTCGCCCTTTAACAAGGACACAGAAATGTCCTTTTGTGCTTCTCCGCCACCGGGGAAAAAGTGCCAGGTCAAGAGATCTGTCATCCAAACACACAAGCACATTTTCACAGTCAAGGGGAAGCTGGGTAATCACAGCACAGCAAGGATGCAGGTCAGTCATATTAACAAAATTCACAAATAAAACACATTGACGGATTATAAAATACATTTCAACATAAAATATAAAAGACTGTTTAAAATGAGTAGCCAAAGTACGGGCTTTGCTTTGTGTGTGTGTGTGTGTGTGTGTGTGTGTGTGTGTGTGTGTGTGTGTGTGTAAAACTCGCTAATGAAGCAGCAGGAATGTTTGTCATGTATCATAGTAAAGCTGACTGCCGAGGCCTGATCTGCAGCGCCCTTTGCGCCTCCATGAATTACACTCCACATGACACACTTTTAGCAGCACATTTTATAGCAAGCAGAATTGTCCTGCTTTCGGTTCCCCCTTGTTGAAATGTAATACAGCACAGCTAAGCCTATTATTTTGCTGATAACAATATGCTATTATGCTGACACTCAAGGAAAGTATCATTATTTTGGTGGGTAATAGTTGCATGAGCCCTCAATGTGCTTTTATAATGGAAAGTCCCTTCCAGTTACAGACACATCTGTTGCTCTCTCACCAACACAATGCGTACGTGTTGTG